CCTGTTTGTCTACCTTTTGAAAAAATCACCCTCAGCTATGAGTATTTTCCTTAAGCTTAAAAAAAACCTCTATTAACCTTGTAAACTGGAGCTCGGTTATCTTTATTGGTTATAAAACCCTACCATTGTACATTAAAAAATCCTTAATTCTAAAGCTAGGCTTCAAAAACTTTTCGGAGCTGTCACTACGGTTACAGAAATACAAGTTAATTCACATTGAGAAGGCCCTCCATCGTGTTGTGTACACTATCACCATGTTAAATAGACTTTGAAAAAATCTAGCAACGTAAATCTGAGCATCCATGAAGTTCTGTGGGCCATCAACAGCAGCAGAATTTTACTACAGCACAATCTACAACCTCATGGCCTAACATGTCCCTCAATCAACCATTACAATCAAGCCAGGGGATCAACCCTGGCTCAATGGAGAGTGCAGGAGGGCATGCCAGGAGCAGCACCAGATATTCCTAAAAATGTCAGCCTGGTGAAGCTACTACTTACACGCCAAGCAGCATAAGCAATAAGTGATAGATAGAGCTAAGTGATCTTATAACAAATGGATCAGATCTATACTCCATAGTCCTGCTACATCCAGTCATGAATTGTGGTGGACAATTAAACAACTCACTGGAGGAGGTGGGTCCACAAATATCCCCATTTTCAATGATGGAAGAGCCCATCACTACTAAAGATAAGGCTGAAGCATTCGCAGCAACCTTCAGGCAGAAGTGTCGAGTGGATGAACCATTGCAGCCTCCTCCAGTGGTCACCAGCATCACAAATACCAGTCTTCAGCCAATTTGATTCACCCCATGATATCAAGAAACAGTTGGAGACACTGGATACTGCAAAGGTTATGGGCCCTGACAACATTCCTGCAATAGTACTGTGCTGCAGAATTTGCCGCTCCCCGTGTCAAGCTCTTCTAGTACAGTTACAATGTGGAAAATTGCCTAGGTGTGTTCTATTGAATAAAAGCAGGATAAATCCAACTGGCCGGTTACTGTCCCAACAGTCTCCCCTAGATTATCAGTAAAGTGACGGAAAGTGTCATCAACAGTTCTAACGAGCAGCACCTGCTCAGCAATAGCCTGCTCAGTGATGCCCAGTTTGGGTTCCATCAGGGCCAATCAGTTCCTGACCTCATTACAAACATGGTTCAAACATGGACAAAGAGCTGAATTCCAGGGGTGAGGTAAGAGTGACAGCTCCTCACATCAAGACTGCATTCGCCTGAGTGTGGCATCAGGAGCCTTACTGAAACTGGAATCAATGGGTATCAGGGACAAACTGTTTGTTAGTTGGAGGCATATCTGGCATAAGATGATGGTTGTGGCTGTTGCAGGTCAGTCACCTCCGCAGGAGTTCTTCAGAGTAGTGTCTTCGGCCCAATCATCTTCAGCTCCTTCATCAATGACCTTCCCTCAGCCATAAGGTCAGAAATGGGGATGTTCGCTGATGATTGCTCAATGTTCAGCACCACTCGTGACTCATCAGATACTGAAGCAGCCCATGTTCAAATGTAACAAGTCTTGGACAATATCCAGGCTTGGGCTGACAAGTGGCAAGTAAAATCCATGCCATACAAATGCCAGGCTATGACCATCTCCAACAAGAGACAATCTAACCACCGTTTCTTGATATTTAATGGTGTTGTCATTACTGAAACCCCCACTATCATCATTCTTGGGGTTACCATTTTCCGGAAACTCAACTGGACTCACCACATAAACACAGTGGCTACAAGAGCAGGCCAGAGGCTAGGAATACTGCAGTGAGAAATTCACCTCCTGACTCCCCAAAGCCTGTCCACCATCTACCAGGCCCAAGTCAGGAGTGTGATGGAATCGTCCCCACTTGCCTGGATGGATGCAACTCTAGCAACACTCAAGAATCTTGACGCCATCCAGGACAAAGCAGCCTGCTTGGTTGGCACCACATCCACAAACATCCACTCCCTCCACCACTGATACTCAGTAGCAGCAGTGCATACTATCTACAAGAAGAACTGCAGAAATTCACCAACTATCCTTACACAACACAACCTTCCAAACCAGAGCCACTTCCATCTAGGAGGACAAGGTCAGCAGATACATGGTAACACCACCACCTGCAAGTTGCTCTACAAGCCACTCATCTTCCTGACTTGGAAATATATCTCTATTCCTTCCTTCACTGTTGCTGGGTCAAAATCTTGGAATTCCCTCCATAATGACATTTTGGGTCAACCCACAGCAGATGGACTGCAGCGGTTCAAGAAGGCAGCTCACCACCACCTTCACAACGGCAACTAGGGTTGGGCATTAAATGCTGGCCAGCCAGCAACACACACATCCCACAAGTGACTAATAAAGAATAAACTTCAGATACAAAAAAAGTCTCTTGCTGATCCAAACTTGCAATAAATTATATTAAATATATATATTACATACAGAAAAATCACACAATTTTTCTATAATTTGTCTGCCTACATCACCATAGTAAAGTGTACAATGCATAGCCAACGGATTATGAAGAAAGACAGGGAATGAAAAAAAATGTGAGGCAGAATGTGTTAGTGCCATTTTCATATACCATGCACCCTTTTAGGCAAGTGCTGCTTCTTGCTTTTAGTCATATTTATTTTTGCAGTGTGAGTTGACAGTTAAGAGATACTTTATGAAGTCATACACTTAACAATTTTGTGTTTCTATAGTGCCTTGAATACAGTAAAACATCCCAAGGTGTTTAATTAATGGATGGAAAATTATAGCGATTATACCTATGAATTCCTTACGTGTCGTCCTGACCGGTATTGCTTTCTACCAAGAGTGCCCATTCATGTTTCCCATTTAAGGCATCTGGATCAACATGACAAATTTTATGCCTACAGTTTGTGTTGTGTTGATGACTTTTCGTCATACAAGCATAAAACATATGAAGCCTAAATGGTTCCCAAAAGGTATAAAGGACACCTATAACTTGTATATGGTTACAAATGGCTGTTTCATCACATTTGCAAAGTCCTGGAGCTTTGTGTTCTCACAGTGAATGGATTCCTTTTTATAAAGGTACAGAACAAAAGAAACAAAATACATACTTTAGGTGTGATTGACAATTCACATCAAGGCTGTGCTTTCTCTGTTGAAAGTAAAATATTAATTTCCTAAGAACTTGGAGCATGCAAATCAGCCGTCATGCTGACTGAACATAAACAATAAACCATGTGCTCCTTCCACTGTACTGCTTGTACAGTACTTCTTCTAAAGCAAGTCAGCAACTCTCCTCTTGGTGAATTTAAATTCAACACCGGAAGACTAGTAAACTGATCACTTTCGAGTCTTTTGTGGATAGGTTATACAAATTGACACATTTTTAACACAAGAGGTTCAAACAAAAGGAGTGCATATTTGTGTCATATCATAAATAGGATGTTTGGGACTGAATTCTGGAGATGAAAAGTGGAAACTGCTTTATGTGAATCTGGTGCTACAAAAGTTTCAAAAAATAAACTATTAATATCATGTAAAGTAATATAAAGCCCTCCTTTAAAATTCTGTATTTCACAGTGCTAACTTGTGATATTGTGTATCTACCTTCCTGTTGCAGCTTAGACTTTAGATCTGGTTTAAATGCTGGGTTTTTTATTGTTCAGTATGTCAGGTCACTCCATCAAAGTTGTCTGCTGAGCTGATGTCTGTGTGAGCCCATCCTCCTTCCTTGGCTGCATGCCACATGTACCTGGTGACTTACTGCATTCCAATCCTGTCTCGGTGCTGCCCTCTAAAGAGGATACAATGGCAGTATGTACACCGTACACTAATCTTTATCACTGCCCTGCTGCTGTTGGCCTATACACTCTTGTACCAGCTGTGCCTGATTAGTTCGCAGTTTTTGAGAATCTGCAAAGAGAAATGTAAAAGGGTAAGGGAGGGAAGTGGGAATTGGTAAATGGAAATGATGAAAGAGGCATGTACTGTAACCTCATTTAGAGATTGCAGATTAGATTGTGGAATGATGGGAAATGTGAGTAAAACTGTGGATTATGTCAATACATGGTATCCTTTTTCTATGGTCTCGTTTTTGTTGCTGGCCACAGCCTCAGTGACTGGCATCTGCTTTGAGGATGAGGATATGTGGCCTTACCTTCCCTAAATCTGTTACAGTCTCGCTGTTGTGAAGACACTTGAAAATAAGAGTATATGTTCAAATGTGTATTTTATGATATGTTAAAGTTTCTAATTCTACAACCAGTCTTTCCTGTAATTTAGAGGCCTTGCTATGCACTTAGTTTGCCAACCTTCTAGATTCAATAAAATATATGGCTCAAAAATATTAAATGCTTTTGATCTAATACCTCAGGGGAATGAAAATTGAAAATTTTGTTTTCAATGCTTTACATAAAAGTATATGAAAATTAATGAAGGTACAATAATACACATTGTAAACCTTGCCCACTATTTTCACCATCGTCAGTAATTTAAATAATTTTGCAAAAGCTGCAGAATCTATTTCAGATCAATTGGCTATATTGCTAGATCCATTCCTAAAGCAGTGAGGCATATTAAATGACAGTAGAATGCTATGGTTTCTCAGGGGTTTAGTAAAACAGATTTCTCACTTTTATGTTGGTCCAGAGTTATCTAGAAGCTGGTGTCAAGTGGACACAAGGTAGGATATATTTCAAATATCTCAACAAGTGATGCGACTGCCAACACTTCACTGTAAAGTTATGAAATTGATGAATGGAAAATAATGGGGAGTGCATCCACGACTTGCTGATATTTGCTCCAGCCATGTGAGCCTCTCTACTGGAGCATTATTGCATAAAATCAGCTCTTGCTTTTGCTCAAGATTTAATTATTATGTAAGTAATAGTTGTGTTTTAGCTGGTCACTAACTTAGGCCTTTTGTTTGCAGCTTTATTCAAGAACTGGAAAAGCAAACTCCAATCACGCCTATTTAAAAAAAAAATCTCTGGCACAAGGAGAGCTAATTGTTCTCTCTGTCTTGTTACTCAGTCTGGAAGAGCTGGAAGTGTTTGGATGTCATGAACTAAGTGCACCTTGTTTGAGCTATATGGCACGGAAGTGCTCAAACCTACAGAACCTGAACATTGGCAGAATACCAAACATTACAACCTCTTGTCTAATTCAGATGGTGACCAGCTTGCAACATCTAACTGTTTTGAACTTATCAGGACTGAACGCGGTAAGACTAGAAAAAATCTGATGCTTGGATAAGTTTGCAAATTGAAATAGTAATTAGAATTTGAAATACTAGGGCCTATAAATTTAGTTGTACAGCACCAATTTTGTGGACAGGCAGCTCACACACATTACAAACTATGATTGTGCTTCCTGTCATATTGGTAAATGTCAAAGAATTGATGTATTGTGCTGAAACCTGAAGCAGGACTGGACCTTGCATGTGCAATCAAGAGGCCTTATTATGTTTGAGGTTCCACTGGTTGGCTTCTCTGAGGCCAACTGCGCAAATAAAATTTGTCTCTAAGTGCATCACATCAAGCTCTTCAATAAACCGTTTATTATGCTGCAATTGAAAGAACAACTGTTTAAAACATACTTGCCATGCTGTTTCCTATATGTTCCATTACCGACACTACATCCAGTTGACCCACCTCATTCCCCATATACAGTAATGGCACCTCCTCATAGGCCAGAAGTGAAATGCTGAAGAAAATTTCCTGTACAAACTTTAGAAGCACTTCCATCTCTCTTCCCTTTACAGCATTACTTTCTCAATCTATGTTAGGATAAGTGACATCTATCATTATCATTTACCCTACAGTACTTTTTGATAAGTTTTTAAGGATTCTTTTAAAAAGGGAAAGTGTGATTTGGAGGAGGATAGGTGTAGGGAGGGAATTCCAGAGAAGGAATGACCAACCAGGGATGTACAAGAGACCGGAATTATAGGAGCACTGATATCTTGGAGGGATGTGGTGCTGTCAGAAAGACGGAGGCGAGGAACTCTGAGGATTTTGAAAACCAAGTCAGTAAAACTGAAACCTTGGATTAATAAAAGCATTATCTCCAGCATCCCAAGCAACAATGTGAGCAGCTGAGTATACATTGTCCGAATGACCGTGCCCCTCCTCCTTTGCTTCTTTCTGCCCCCAAACTGAATCACTTGAGGAAAGTGTTAGCTTTTGTCCTCCTAAAGGTTCAAGCTTTGTTGTTTTGGATGTACAGCAGGCTCTGACCATTCTGTCGGAACTGTCTGCTGTGTATTGCAAGGCCCTCCAAATCTGTCAAGGAACTTGAATTGCATCTTCAATATGCTAATGGCCTGTTCACATTTCGGGTGGTTACATGGCATTCATTGTTGGGCTTTATCATTCTGACATTATATTGCACATTGCTCAGCAACCATCATTTAGGTCAGCTTTAAAGTTCAAAGAGATCAGAGAGTTTGGAGTGCTCCATGACAGAAATGTCACAGCAGCTCTCTGGGAATCTCATTCGCACCTACAAAAGATTTTTTGCTGGTTCCTTATCGGTTATGTCTTGATGGAATGGAAACCCCTATGGCTGTTCTATGGATGCCTAGAATGTCATGTATGCATTCATTGCTAACATCCATGGATGGAAAGTTAACTGAAGCTGTCAAGCTGAGTGCACATTCACTTTGAACAAGATAATTACAAGCAAAGTTGACAAAATTGCCAGTTCTGGCAAACAATCCATCAGAAACCGAATTCATTTGTCCTCAACTGATAAGATTCTGAATATGTCTATTGCAGAGCTTTCTAAGGCTCTGGAACAAAAATGTTGAAATCATTGTAATTTTGAGTTCTGGTAATGCACAACCACCAAATCCGGCAGGCAACAGATCTTCTAGCAAGCTACAGATATCTGCCCCACATCTGATAAGAACATGAGGGGAAATGTTCCATTTATTCTTACTGTCTCTGCATTTAGCTTTGAACCAATCCTCAATCCATGCCATTTTATTACCACGAATTCCATGTGTTTAGTTTTGTCTACTAACCTCCTGTGTGGACCTTTATCAAAAGCTTTCCAAAAATCTATATATCCACTGGTTCCCTCTGCCAGTAACATTGTCAGAAATCTCTATTAGATTTGTTGCAAATGATTACCCCTTCATTAATTCATGTTGACACTGTCCAAACTGGGTTTATTTTCTAAATATCCAGTAATGACATCCGTTATAGTAGCATCTAGTAGTCTCTGTAGGACTGATGTCAGGCTAACAGGTTTGTAATTCCTGTTTACTTTGCCCTTCCTTCCTTAAGCAGTGGGGTTCTATTTGCAACCTTTCAATCTGCAGGCATCACTGCAAAATTAGTGGAAGGTTGAAAGATGATCCAATACATCCACTACCTCTGAAGATATCTTTTTTAACACTCCAGGATGATGGTCATCATGTCCCAGGGGTTTGATAACTTTCAGTCTCATCAATTTCTTCAGTAGTTATTTTTAATATCTTTCAATTTCACACTCTCACTAGACCCTTGGATCTTAATTATTTCAGGAAAACTATTTATGTCCTGTCTTGTGAAAACAGACACAAAGTACTTCTTTCGCTTCTCTGCCATTTCTCTATCTTCTGTTAAAAGCTCTTTAGACTTTGCATGTAATGCCTCCACATTTGTCATTCCTAATGTGTTTTTTTTTACATATCTATAGCTACTTTTACAGTTTATTTTGTTTATTGCTATATCCATTCATATTCTATTCTCTCTTCATCAGTTACATCAAACTACAATTTTTTTGTAAATAAAAACTGAAAAAACTACAGATGCTGTTAATCGGAATTTTTTCAATAAGTCTGGCAGCACCTATGGAGAGAAATCGGAATTGGCGTTTTGGGTCCTCAAATGGAAAGGGTCACTGGACCCGAAATGTTAACACTGATTTCCCTCCACAGATGCTACTAGACCTGCTAAGCTTTTCCAGCAATTTCTGTTTTTGTTTCTGATTTCCAGCGTCCGCAGATCTTTTGGTTTTTATTTACAATTGTTTCAAACTTCACGAAAAATTCTATCACACAAGAATACTAATTAGGCCTTTCTAATTGCATAAGGCAAGATTTAAAATAGCTGGTGCTCTAGTTGGTTACTCAACATGTTGCTCGGAAAACACTCAAACACATTCCAGCATGGCATTGGTGCTCATTGGATTTAGCCCCATCTAAATACACATTGAAATCCCCCATGATTACTGCATTTCCCTTACTACATACACTTCTGATTTCCCAATATATACCACTTCATGGGATATAGAGCATTTGCTTTGTAAAAGGAAAATAGGGTGAGGCTAGAAAAGAAACCTCATATTCCATTGCCTGGTCAACAAAATGTCAGGGGTTCAAAACTTTAAAAAATAAAATCCAGTTGGCAGAGAGATTTGCACTGAAATAATGCTGTACATGACGCTCTTGATTTTTACCAATGGGCCTGAATAGGATGCCATATTGTCATTTTTATAGGTTCATGATCGCGTGGTGCATCACATTGTGAGACAGTGCCCAAAAATGGACCGCCTCACTCTCAGCTTTTGTCCTCAATTGACAGATGTCAGCCTGTTTGAAATAGGCACATACTTGCCCACCATCAGGTAAGAAACAAAAGAAAAACATTTGGTAATCAATACAATGATACCCTGGCATTTTGGTATGTTGTGTTATAGATAGGTAGGATGAAGTTTCACATCTTCGGGTCTCCAATTAGCATTTTATTGATCTCAATCATAAGCAAACAAAATTTGACCAGAGGAAAAGGAGAGATAAAATAAAAAGAATCTGGAAATACTCAGGAGGTCTGGCAGCATTTGTGGAGAGAGAGAAACTGAATTAACACGCAGCACTGATGGATGAGCCAACAATTTCCTGCTATTCTCACCTCTGGGCCGTTTTTTGCGGGCAGGGTTGTGGTCGGACAGGGGGGACTGATTAAAGTAGAATGAGGCCTATTAAGATCACTTTGCAGAGGCTGTAATTTTCTAATCAGCATGCATTGAGGCTGAATCATGGCAAGGCGATGATGGCAAACTCCTGGTGACAGTCCAGGGTTGGAGGGGTTTACTCGCCACCATTATGGCAAGGCAGCTATGGCCTTTTTGAGTTAAAAAAATGCTCTTCAAGCTGAAGCCCTCTCTTTTATCCATCAGTGATGGTGGAGCTGCTGATTAAGAATAGTTATTGTACATTTTCTTTTCTACCAATGGAAACATCTCGAAAAATGCAGATAAAGTTTTGTTGACTTTGTGCCTTTCCCAGCCAAGAGAATGGGAAACATGGTAATTAGTTACCTTTATGTAAATAGTTTTGCAGTCTCTAAAATTCCTAGAGCTACAACCCACTGCATAGCCATAATTTTATATTTATAAAATGAATTCTGTTGCACTTGTGGTGAAATTATCTTGACAGAATGGGAGCAGTTTGAAGAAATTCTGTGCCAATGATTCAACTGATATTAAGTCAACATGTTTAAAATTGTGTTACTCATTGGCTGTGTACACATGCTCAATGTTTTAAATGCCATAAGATAATGTTATATACACATAATGTGGCTGTCATGGGAACAAAGGTGAATACAGTTTAAACCAGACATAATAGTAAATTAAAAAATAATGCCATTACAAAACCTGATGAAAAATCCTGAGTGACTTGCATATTGATGCTGAATTTTCTGAGGCTCCGGTGGGAGGTGTGCGTGCAGCTGCTACTGATGACAGGTACCAATTGTATGACATCAAGTGCACTAAACGTTCTAAGGTTGTATGTGGAGGGAGAAGATAACTTTGCAACACCTTTTTTTTGTTTAGTGTTATTTAGATTGATACTGCAAAATACTGTGAAATGGCTTTGCATTTCAAGCCAATACATAAACTCAAATTGTTGTGGTTCCTGGACCAGATGGACTACACCCCAGAGTTCTAAAGGAGGTAGCTGAAGAGATAGTGGAAGAGTTAGTGGTGATCTTTCAGGAATCGCTAGAGTCAGGGAGGGTCCCAGAGGACTGGAAAATCACTAATGTGACACCCCTGTTTAAAAAGGGAGTAAGGCAAAGACAGAAAATTATAGGCCGATTAGCCTAACCTCAGTCGTGGGCAAGATTTTGGAGTCCATTGTGAAGGATGAGATTTCTGAATATCTGTAAGTGTATAGTAAAATATGGCAAAGTCAGCATGGTTTCATCAAGGGGAGGTCATGCCTGACAAATCTGCTAGAGTTCTTTGAGGAAGTAACAAGCAGGGTAGACCAAGGAGAGCCAATGGATGTTACCTACCTGAACTTCAAGAAGGCCTTTGATCAGGTGCCACACAGGACGCTGCTGAGTAAGATAAGGGCCCATGGTGTTAGAGGTAAGGTGCTAGCATGGATATAAGATTGGTTGTCTGGCAGAAAGCAGAGAGTAGGGATAAAGGGGGCTTTCTCGGGATGACAGCCGGTGATGAGTGGTGTTCCGCAAGGGTCATTGCTGAGACCACAACTCTTCACTTTGTACATTAATGATCTTGATGAAGGAATTAGGCATTCTGGCTAAGTTTGCAGAGGATACAAAGATAGGTGGAGGGACAGGTAGTTTTGAAGAAGTGGGGAGGCTGCAGAAGGACTTGGACAGGCTAGCAGAGTGGGCAAAGAAGTGGCAGATGGAGTACGATGTGGTAAAGTGTGAGGTCATGCACTTTGGTAAGAAGATCAAAAGCATGGACTATTTTCTAAATGGGGAAAAAAATTCAGAAGTCTGAAGTGCAAAGAGACTTGGGAGTTCTAGTCCAGGATTCTCTCAAGGTAAACTTGCAGGTTGAGTCAGTAGTCAGGAAGGCAAATGCAATGTTGGCATTTATTTTGAGAGGACTTGAATTTAAAAGCAGGGATGTACTACTGAGGCTTTATAAGGCTCTGGTCAGGCCACATTTGGAGTAGTGCGTGCAGTTTTGGGCCCCATATCTCAGGAAGGATGTACTGGCACTGGAGCGGGTTCAGAAGAGGTTCACAAGAATGGTCCCAGGAATGGAAAGTTTAACATATGAGGAACGTTTGAGAAATCTGGGACTATACTCATTGGAGTTTAGAAGGATGAGGGGGGATCTAACTGAAACTTTCAAAATACTGAATGGCCTGACAAAGTGGATGTTGGGAAGATGCTTCCATTGGTAGGAGAGTCTAGGATCCGAGGACACAGCCTAAGAGTAAAGGGAAGACCTTTTGGAACGGAAATAAGGAGAAACTTCTTCAGCCAGAGTGGTGAATCTGTGTAATTCACTGCCACAGAAGGCTGTGGAGGCCAGGTCATTGAGTACATTTAAGACTGAGGTAGGTAAGTTCTTGATTATCAAGGGGATCGGGGGTTACGGGGAGAAAGTGGAAGAATGGGGTTGAGGAACTTATCAGCCATGATTGAATGGCAGAGCAGACTTGATGGGTCGCATGGCCTAATTTCTGCTCCTATGTCTTATGATCTTAATCATATCACGATGGCATGTTGGAGCAAAGGAAAAAGAAATGCTCAGGTCATGGTCAAGCTGCAGGTTAGACTATTAATCCATAGACCTACACAACATTCTGGGGACCTGGGTTCAAATACCATCATGGTAGATGGTATTTAATTTCAAAAAAAAAATTAGAATTAATGGGCTAATGATGATTACAAAACCATTGTCAATTGATAGAAAAACCATCTGGTTCACTAATGTCCCTTAGGGAAGGAAACTGTCATTTTTTTATCTGGTCAGCCTACCTGTGGCTCCAGACACACAGCAATATGGTTGACTTTTAACTGCTCTCTGAGCTATTAGGGATGGCAACAAATGCTGGTCTAACCAGTGAAGCCCACATCCTGTGAATTAATAAAACATAAAACATAGAACAATACAGCACAGTACAGGCCCTTCCGCCCACAATGTTGTGCCGACCTATTATCCTACTCTAAGATCAAACTACCCTGCATTCCCTTCATTTTACTATCATCCATGTGCCTATCCAAGAGTCGCTTAAATGTCTCTAATGTGTCAGACTCCACTACCACCGCTGGCAGCGCATTCCGTGCACCCAACGTTCTCTGTGTGAAGAACCTACCTCTGACATCTCCCCTATACCTTCCTCCGATCATCTTAAAGTTATGCCCCCTTGTGATAGCCATTTCCACCCTGGGAAAAAGTCTCTGGCTATCCACTCTATCTATGTCTCTCATCATCTTATACACCTCTATCAATTCACCTCTCATTCTCTTCACTCCAATGAGAAAAGTCCTAGCTCCCTCAACCTTTCCTCATAAGGCCTGCCCTCCATTCCAGGCAGCATCCTGGTAAATCTCCTCTGCACCCTCTCTAAAGCTTCCACATCCTTCCTGTAATGAGGTGACCAGAACTGAACACAATATTCCAAGTGTGGTCTAACCAGGGTTTTATAGAGCTGCAGCATAAGCTCGTGGCTCTTAAACTCAATTCCCCTGCCAATGAAAGCCAACACATCATATGCCTTCTTAACAACCCTACCAACTTAGGTGGCAACTTTAAGGGGTCTATGGACATGGACCCAAGATTCCTCTGTTCTTCCACATTGCCAAGAATCCTGCCATTAACCCTGTATTCTGCATTCAACTTTGACCTTCCAAAATGAATCACTTCACACTTTTCTGGGTTGAATTCAGGCTGCCTCTTCTTTGCCCAGCTCTGCATCCTGTCAATGTCCCGTTGCAACCTACGACAGCCCTCCATGCTGTCCACAACTCCACCAACCTTCATGTCATCGGCAAACAAAAATTTCAGTCACAAACTAGGCCAAGATCACGTTAGATCTAAAGCTAGATGTAGATCAGGAGTTGTATTTAGTCAGAGAATAGGAAAAATAATTTGTGAAAAATGAGAGTCAGGCACTGAAGACAGATTTCCAGTGCCCACAACAGATATGAAAGTCAGATATTACAATTCATTTTTACAGTTGCAGTAGTGCCTGTTATCTTAGGAGGAGAGCTCAAGAAAGTCCTAAGTTATATTCCGCTAACTCAAAACTGATGTGAAACTGACTAGCTATTCCAGAATAGCATTCCAGTGTTAGGTGAAGTTAGTGATACAGTAGAAAATGATGATGCATCATCTTGCTTGCCATTGGTAGCAGTAGAAGGGAACAACGTCTCCTTGGTGGAAAGAAATTGGATTAAGAGTTACTCAGGCCAAGTTATTTATAGTAGGGCCTACAAAGAGCATGTCTGACATTACTAAAGTGCTAGGAGAATGCAAAGTGGTCTTTAAGCAAGGAAGATCAAATTATAAAACTAGGCATCACAAAGCAGAAACAAGATTAAGGAATATATGCAATTCACATGTTGGAAGGCTAGACCAGTGCCGTACGTACAAGTGTCTTATAAGATTATGTAGAGAGCTGGATGGAGCGGAAGGAACAAGAGCACTGATTAGGCTGCTGCCATTATGGGCATTCAAAAAGCAGATGGGTCAAATTTGTGGCGATTGTAAACATACAATAAATAAGCTAATTGAAACGGATTTTTATGCAGCACCTATGAGTAAGAATTGTTTTCTAATTTAGGCAATGGGAACGTGTTCAGTAAGATGCAATCAAAATGAATTCAGAACAGCAAGGAACTATTTACCATTCATACACATAAAGGGTTATACCGGTAACTGAGATAACAATTTGGGGTATCTATTGCTTATGTAGTGTCAAGAGGGGTCATGGGTCAGGTACTATGTGGGTTGAAAGGGCTATGCTATTGCTTAGATGACATTCTAATTCACAATAATACTGAGAAAGAGCACATTGGTAGTCTTTGGTCACTTCAATAAAATGACACTAGTGCTAAAAAGCCCAAGAGTCACTTCATGGTGACGATCATAGAATCCCTAAAGGAAAGAGCCATTTGACCCATCGGGTCTATACTGACCCTCCAAAGAACATCCCACCCAGACTCTAACCCTTCATTCTATCCCCATATTTACCTTGGTGAATCCACCTAACCTGCACATCCCTGAACAGGACGGGGTAATTTAGCATGGTCAATCCACCTAACTTGCATGTCTTAGAACTGTGGGAGGAAACCAGAGCATCTTGTGGAAAGCCATGCAGACGCTGGGAGAACATGCAAACCCCAAAAAGACAGTCACCCGAGGCCGGAATCGAATCCGGGTCCCTGGTGCTATGCAGCAGCAGTGCTACCCACTGAGCTACCGTGCTGCCCCTGTAACACACTAGGGTCACCAAATAGATGCTGACAGTATTCAGCCAATGCAAGATTTAGTTGTGGGGTATTTGAAAACAAAGACCAGAGACCAAAGAAGACCTTAGAACATTTATAGGAATTGATGCATATCATTCTAAGTTCATTCCTCATTTAGCTAATACATTCGCAGCATGGTATCAGTTGCTTAAAGATTGGATGGATGGGGAGTTGTCTGTGGAGTGTTAGACGGGATTTGAAGAAATGAAGGAAGCAGTGATTAGTGATCAATTACTGTTCCCAATAAATAACTGGATTTAGTGCAAGATGTTTCACCATAAATGTAGTATGTTTCTCAACTCGGGGAAGATGTTTAGAGAATCCTGTGGCTTATGTTTCATGTACTTTACTGAAGTGAGGGCAGGATTATTCCCAAGTTGAGAAACAGGCATTTGTGGTTATATATGCATATGGCATTACTAAGTTCCACAAATACTTTTACAGTAGGAAGTTCATGTTGTTAAATGACCATTAAGCCCACATGACCAAATTTGGTTCAAAGAAGGGAGCGTCATCCCTATCAGCACAGCTTTAGAGTTGTTCATTTTGTTGGCCCATCACCACCAGTGCAAAATCAAATGTTAGCAGATCCTGCAAATGCAGACATTCTTTGAGATTTCCTGTGAAGACTGATTTATTTCTAGCCACTGCAAAATAATACACAAATAACTAATACATAAATGATATGCTCGTGTCTGTAAGATTGGATTTGATTTATTGTAGTCACAGGTACCCAAGTACAGTGAAAAGTTTTGTTTTATGAGTAGTACAGGCAGAACTTAGCAAACAAGGACATATAGATCGTGGGACACTTAGACAGCGAGGCATACAAGGTTATGGCTGCACAGGAAGTGCATAAGGCAAGATCAACATTAGCAAGATCAACATTATTTGAAGTTAGAGAGGTCCATTCGACAGTCTAATAAGTGCAGGGAAGAAGCTGTTCTTGAACTTGTTGGTGGAGTCCATAGGTGTTGGCTTCTGTGATGAACTAGGCTGTGCACACAACCTTCTGTAGTTTCTTACAGCTGTGGGCAGAACAGTTGCCGTACCAGGCCATTATGCACCCAGATAGAATGCTTTCTATGGTGCATCTGTAAAAGTTGGTGAGGGTCCTTATGGACATGCAATTTCCTTAGCTGCCTGAGGAAGAAGAGGCGTTGTTGTGCCTTGATGGCCATTGGATCTACGTGGGTGGTCCAGGTCAGATCATTGGTTATTGTCACTCTTAGGAATTTGACACTATAAGCACTCTCCACCTCAGCCCCATTGATGTAGATGGGGCGTGACCTCCTTCTTTCTTCCTGAAGTCAATGATCAGTTCTTTTGTTTTGCCAACATTGAAAGAGAGATTGGGTTTAGTGTCGTGGTGCAGTGATAACAATCTCCTTCCTGTATAATGACTTATCGTTGTTTGATATCCGGCCTACCAAGGTGATGTTGTCAGCAAACTTGTAGATGGCATTCATACGGAATTTGGTTCAACAGTTATAGGTGTACAGTAGGGGGCTGAGAACACATCCTCACGGGGTGCCAGTGTTGAGGATTATCATGGAGGAGGTGCTGTTGTCTATTGGTGGTTCAGTGAGGCAGCACAGTAGCTCAGATGTTAGCACTGCCGCCTCGCAGCGCCAGGGACCCGAGTTCGATTCCACCCTTGGATGACTGTCTATATGGAGTTTGCACATTCTCCCCGTGTCTGCATGGGTTTCCGCCGTTTTAGCCGTATATATTCCGCCGTTTATTGGCCATGCTAAATTGCCCATAGTGTTCAGGGATGTGTAGATTAGGTGTGTTAGCCATTGGAAATGCAGGGTTACAGGGAAAGGATAGGAAGATGAGTTTGGATGGGATGCTCTTCGGAGGGTCAATGTGGACTTGTTGGGCTGAAGGGCCTGTTTCCACACCATAGGGATTCTATGATCTTCACTGATTGTGGTCTGTGGTTCAGGAAGCTGAGGATTCAGTTGCAGTGGGTGTTGCTGAGACCTTTGTCCGAGAGTTTTGAGATTAGTCTGGTAGGGATTATGGTTTTGAAGGCGGGGCTGTAGTCGATGAATAGGACCCTGACATATCCAGATGTTATCCAGATGTTCCAGGGATTAGCACAGGGCCAGGGAAATGGTGTTCGCTGTGGTCCTGTTTCACCAGTAGGCAATTTGCAGGGGATCAAGGCAGGCTGGGAGACTAGAGTTGATGTGGGCCATGACCAGCCTTTCAAAGCACTTTATGATTGTAGAGGTCAGAGCCACTGGGCGGTAGCTGTTGAGGCACATTGTATGTGTTTTGTTTGGTGCTGGGATGATGGTGGTCTTTCTGAAGCAGATAGGGACTTCAAGTTGAAGCAAGCGGAAGTTGGAGATGCCAGTGAATACCCCTACCAGCTGGTCTGCACAGAATCTAAGTTCACGGTGGGGACTCCATCTGGGCCCATTGCTTTCCTTGGGCTTACCCTCGGGAAGGCTGAACTGATGTCTGCAGTGGTGACAGAGGGATCAGGTTCATCTGGGACTGTCAGGGCAGGTGATACCATGCCTTTGGCATTCTGCTTGAACCAAGCATTGAGCGCGAGGGAAGTTAATGAAGAAACTCACAATTGTGTGGTTCTCGGTACTCAATTATGTCTTCAGTGTGATGATGAGAAATTGCAGAAAGATTTTACACATAGAAATGAACTGAGTGTAGATTCAGGCTGGATCCTGTGCAGTTTCCTCCATAGTTGAGGGAAATTGGTAGAGGAACTTGATCAAGAGCACACATGGGTAGCCAATATGACAGCAGTAACAAAAAGCTTATTTTGCTATCCAAAGGTAGAAATATTGAAGAGTTGATGAAAATTTGTGTGTAGTTTTTCTCCGAATAAGAAATTAGCTCATCAAGTTTCCTTTCATTCCATGGTCAAACACAGAAGAATGTGGAATGGAATACATGTTCAATTTCTTTTAAGTGGAAAGTAAAGAGTGGTTTGTTTAGGTTGATAGCTTTAACAAGTGGACAAATATTGAGTTTATATCCAATATTACATGTACCAAAACTGTTGAGGTTTAAAGTACAAAAACAGAAGTTGCTGGAAAAGCTCCGCAGGTCTGGCAAAATCTGTGAAGGAAAAAACAGATTTAAGGTTTGGGGTCCGGTGACCCTTCCTCAGAACTATTCTGAGGGTTCTGAGGAAGGGTCACCGGACCCAAAACATTAACTCTGTTTTTTCCTTCACAGATGCTGCCAGACCTGCTGGGCTTTTCCAGCAACTTCTGTTTTAGTTCCCGATTTACAGCATCCACAGTTCTTTCAAGGTTTAAAGTAGTTTGTTTTTTAATTTATGGGTTCCTGGAGGTTCTGATGTTAGATAATGGTCCACTCTGTACATCAAAAGACTTTAAATATATTTCTGAGTAAGAGTAGAGTAAAGCATATTCTACATCATCACATCACCCAGCATTAAATAGTGCTGCAGAAATACATGTCCAGGTTGTGAGGAGGCCTTCACAGAAATATTTGCAAGGTGACAAGCGAGTCAGTAATTTTCATGCTTCTCTTCAATGCATAATTTTCTAATGTCTTGTAGAGTAGCCCCACAGTCTACAACAGATTGTTCCTCTTATGAAATGGTGTAAAAGTGTGCTGCTAGAATTTTGTTTATTTAAGTCTCACATCAATGGCAGAGTAAGAGAAAATCAAGACAAAGTGAAGTTGAGTCACTCCTGCTGCCTTAGAGCAGAAATCAATTTACTTTACAGAGATAAAACACTCTCTGGTTGCTGAACTATATATGTTTAGTTTCATCTGTTTGAGGTTCTTCTTTTCTATCAACAGGCATCTTGATGTCAGTGGCTGCAAGAAAATAACAGATACGGGTGTGCAGGCTTTAGCCATGAGCTGCCACAAGCTACAATATCTTGACCTCAGCTCCACAACAACTACCAAAACAGGGTAAATGTTCACCAGGTCATGGTCAAACTTTAGCTGTGTTCTATATATTTTCCTATGTTTTCTTTATTATTTTAGGTACAGAACTGGAAAATTAGTGTAGTAAGTATGCAAAAACTTAACACATTCATGTGATAGCCCCATGTCCCCTATCTGAATGGAAATGTACCTTCCTCGGAAGGGTCACCGGACCTGAAACGTTAACTCTGTTTTTTGCTTCACAGATGCTGCCAGACCTGCTGGGCTTTTCCAGCAACTTTGTTTTTGTTCCTGATTTACAGCATCCACAGTTCTTTCAGTTTTTATAAGTTCCAGTAACTCATTTTAAACAGCAATGTCTCCTTCCTCAGTCCTTGGTTTAAAGTAATAAACAATTAGAATATATCTAGCTAGCCTTTCTCACAATTTGCCTATAAGCTGGTTCTTCTAACTACTTACTAATAGACTGAACTATTAGTCTTTATCCATTGTGGCCCACAATTCAAAATAGAGAGAAATGAAAAGATGTAGACTTTATAAAAGACATTTAATTCAATACATTTTTGCTATTATATTAAGCAGCTTGATTTTTAAGCTAATGAAAGCAGTTCAAGAGAAGGAGATAAATATGAAACAAGATGGCTTTATCAGGGTGGTGGTGTATAGCACTTGTAATACTCACTGTAGAATTGTCGTTTGAGATATAATTGGACATATTTCCATAATTTGACTTGGCACATAATGCAGAACTTAATTAGATTAGGTGGATCAGATATCTAATATTGGCTGTCTGATTTTAATCTAGGTAGTCTTTTACTTTCAGGCATAGTGTTCCCTGATTATTATCAGAATATTTTTCTGTTTGAAAACAGGCAATACTAATATGCTGTAATCCTGTAATATAAGGTACTTGAGAGCACTAGAACTTTAATGCTTATCAGTGTTAAGATGGATGGTTATTGCAAGCTGAATAGATCCAGTATGTACAAAGATAAGGTACTGTCTGCTAATAATGGCAATCTTGATAGTTTGTGATTTCTGCTGTTTGTTGTCTAGGATTCCGCAGGCTTCAATCTTGAAGAGAGGCCTTTTATACTTCAACGCTTCAAGTGGATAAACAGGGGAATCGACTCTGTTTTACTAAAATGTTTGCAAGCATGTTTGACAAAGTACTAATGCTTCCTTGATCCATGTAATGTAGCAGCATGTGATTGTCATCACATCTGATATGAGTTGCTGACCCCTTGGCATCACCATGTTGACAATTGCAACCTCTCATTTCAGCTGCTTGGGTGTTTTCATGATTATTTTGGCTCAATACCAAACTAATTAGAAAACTATCTCGAAGTTCAAGTAGTTTATTTCTATCTTGCTGCTGCCACATTAAACCTGTAATGAGAATCACTGCTGGAGATCCGCTTACTAAGATATTAAGTTCTTTCACAATTTTAAGTGGTCAGTGCTCTAACTGAGAAGTATCAAGGGCCAAAGCGCTGGAAAATGGGATTAGTGTAGATAGGTAGGCACAGACTCGAGGGCTGAAGGGCCTCTTCTGTGCTTTTTGACTCCATGACTTCAGAAGTATATGCAAATTGGGTCAATCAAGACAGTCATTATACTTTCTCAATTTTCCCACAGATTAGAGGCAATAATGCAAGTCGGGAGGTAACTTTTACAGTATTGTTTAAAAGATTGCCCTTTACATTGCAACTTTCCCAAAGAAGTTAATTGGCTGTCAAGCATTTTGGAATGTTCGGAGCAATGAAAGATGTTTCATAAGTGCAGCTCTGTTTTTCTTTCCTCTGATTTAGAACACTCCAAATGTTTAGGTGAAATTCTGGTAATTTAGATTATGTTTTTGGCTACTTAAGATGATCCTAACTTGCTAGAAGTAGCTCTACAATGTTCTAAAATCTTAAGCAGCTTCAGATACATATTGATTTTAGGGGATCGTGATCACAGTTACCTCATATGGGCAGTCAATGATATCTTGCAATTTTCTGATAGTAGAGAAGCAGTTGCGTAGATGTGGTATATTAGTTAATTAGGCAAAGAGAGGAAATATACAACCTGTGTTAGATGAAAATGCTTTACTGATCCTGGAACTGTTCTGTAGATTGGAGGAGTAGAGGTAGTGCACAAGTCCCAGTGGTCTTACACTGTATTGTTGTGGTCTCTGGTAATCTTTGTTGTCTCAGTACCAACAGTCATTGTTCTTCCCTCAGGCTGATGTAAGAGAGCTCCTACTAATCCACCAAGGAAAGAGTGTAGCTTGCTCACCTGGATCTTCTTGCCCATTTCTCCCCTCATGTTCATAGACCTCATTTTGGGGATTTGGCCATCAGTGCAATGTCAATCACCTGTCTAACCCCTCTTGACCAATTGCCGTGGGACAGCTACTCAGGAATTGAGATGATTGTTGTCCCGTTGCCTGCCTTCATCTGAGGGTTAGTGTACCGTTCTTTCTAAGAACAAATGCTTCTTGTTTTCAAAACAACACACTGATAATAAGATGCATTTGATGCCAGATTGACGTCAGTTCAATTTGTATCGTGACCTCCATGTTTCTCATAGTTCTTCCTTTTTGTTTTCCCATGCTAGAACGTTGAAAATTTTAATTACTGATGAATAGCTATTAAGTGAATCTCATGCTACATAACAAATACTAGGAAAATTCAGTTTCTAAGGAACCCCAATATCTAACAACCATACTTAATTTGCTTGGAAACACTTCTGAAAATACCACACTGACATGTGAAAGAAATATAACAGGAAGAAGGGCTAAGTAGAACTGCAGCTACAAATTGTCTGGATAGAAGCGAATGCACCCATAGGAATCCTTATCCCATTGACAGTGTGTGTAAACTCAGGAGGACATGTCTTCACTTAACTGAGGAACAGCGCATACAATGACTTTGCTTATGTCAAGATGCTGTAACGGAGTTGTGACAACAATTGTTAAGGATACACATGAAGTACATAGAGAATAAAGGTGCAGGTGTTGAAGGAGAATATGAAATGGCTAGACAGATGTTTTAAGTTTTCTGGATGCCTAAGAGGGACTGAAATGCAATTATCAAATAATCTAAAAAGAAGCACCATTCCACAGACTCAAAAGAACAAAAGAAAAATTAAAATACGGACGGGGCACTGGGAATGCATGAGATAAATGCACAGGTAAAGATAGCGAAGTTGAACAATTAATTTAGGAGATTTACAAAGTGGACATGACATTTGAAGAGGAGGTCAAAAAAGCTATCAAGATTTACATAGGGTCAAACCGTTGGGGTGGGGGGAATGTGGCAAAAAAAGATGGAGAACCCAAAAGCTGGCATGATGCATGTATGTTTCTCAATGTGATCTTAACGCGCTGTTCTTACGAAACTGGAATTGTGAAACAGAAAGCAGCAGCAAGCTGTCTGAAAATGGCATGTTTGCAGTTTTCATGCAAGCAACCTAATTGTCAGTTTGCTTCATGGGTGATTTGTTATTTTTGTGATTGGAAGCCTGTGAAGCACAAAACGTTAGCAGCCCATCCTTGAGGAAGAGATAACTTTGTCTCGAGGAAACTGTCATAGATGTAGGTATTATTCAAGTACCATGTAAAAGGTGGGGAGAAAACTCAGAGGTTGCCTCATTATTTGGCTCACAGTGACCATCATGTTCTCAATGATCCCTGAAAGTTTGAACGTTGATATTGTTATCAACGGGGTGAGGTTCCTCAAGTTATTACAGTTCAAGACAGATACCCCAAAACATTACATTCAGAGGTGGGGATGAATGAACTGGCTTCCATTTTTTTAATTCCTTCCTCCCCACCCCACCAACACCACCACCAACATTAGATGCAACAAGGCTTGCTTAAAAAGGATCCCTTCCTTGTGGATGTCTTACTCCCAGACCAAATGAATTTATTTTTTAGAAGAAGCCAACTTGACTAGGCTTTCTTGACTTAACAAAAGTCTGAAATCATTCGTTAATAAATGCAAAAAGAAGTAATAACACAACACACAGATTAGGAATAAGAAGTGAACACAAAAACATTGTAAAGGTTAAAGATATATGGATTAGTCTCTCTGGGCAATACATGAAGAATAAATAGTAGAACACGTCTAGTTTAATAGAACATAGAACAGTACATCACAGGAACAGGCCCACAGTATCTGTGCTGACCATAATGCCGATCTAAACTAATCCCGTCTACTTGCACAATGTCCATATCTGTCTATTCTCTGCCTGTTCATGTGTCTGCCTAATTACGTCTTAAATGTTGCTGTCATATCTGTCTCTTCCACCTCTCTTGGCAGAGCATTCCAGGCATCTACCACCCTCTAGATTAAAAAAAAAACTTGCCTCTCCCATCTCCTTTAAACATTTCCCCTCCCCCTTGACCTATTGCCCTAGTATTTGACACTTACACCCTGGGAAAAGGACTCTGATTATCCACTTATCCATGCCTCATCATTGTATAATACTTCAATCAGGTTGTCCCTTAGCCTCTGATACTCTAGTGAAACAATCCAAGTTTGTCCAACCTCGCCTTACAGCTAATACACTCCAATCCAGACAACATCTTGGTAAACCTCTTTCGCACCTTCTCCAAACCCTCCATGTCCTTCCTTCAGTGTGATGACCAGAACTGCACACAATACTCCAACTGTGACCTAACTAAAGTTTTATACAGCTGCAACATGACTTATCAACGTTTATATTCAATACCCTGACTGATGAAGCCAAGCATGCCATTCACCTTTTTTACCACCTCGTCCACTTCTGTTGCTACTTTCAGGGAGCTATGGACTTCCACCCCAAGATCCCTCAGAATATCAATGTCCTAAGGGTCTGCTATTTACTGTATACATTCCCCTTGGATTTGACTTTCCAAAATGCTTCACCTCACACTTGTCTAGATTAAACTCTGTCTGCCATTTCCCTACCCAACTTTCCAGCTGATCTATATCCTGCTGTATCCTTTGACAACCTTCCTCACTATCCACACCTCCACCAATCTTCTTGTCATCCAA